ATCTCTCGTGATCAGTAGGACAAGAATTATCTCTCGTGATCAGTAGGACGAGAATTATCTCTCATGATCAGTAGGACGAGAATTATCTCTCATCATCAGAAGGACGATAATTATCTCTCGTGATGAGTAGGACGAGAATTATCTCTCGTGATGAGTAGGACAAGAATTATGTCTCGTGATCAGTAGGACGAGAATTATCTCTCATGATCAGTAGGACGAAAATTATCTCTCGTGATGAGTAGGACAAGAATTATCTCTCGTGATGAGTAGGACGAGAATTATCTCTTGTGATGAGTAGGACAAGATTTATCTCTCGTGATGAGTAGGACAAGATTTATCTCTCGTAATGAGTAGGACGAGAATTATCTCTCGTGATCAGTAGGACAAGAATTATCTCTCGTGATCAGTAGGACGAGAATTATCTCTCGTGATCAGTAGGACGAGAATTATCTCTCGTGATCAGTAGGACGAGGATTATCTCTCGTGATCAGTTGGACGAGAATTATCTCTCGTGATCAGTAGGACAAGAATTATCTCTCGTGATCAGTAGGACGAGAATTATCTCTCGTGATCAGTAGGACAAGAATTATCTCTCGTGATCAGTAGGACGAGAATTATCTCTCGTGATCAGTAGGACGAGGATTATCTCTCGTGATCAGTAGGACGAGAATTATCTCTCGTGATGAGAAGGACGAGAATTATCTCTCGTGATGAGTAGGACGAGAATTATCTCTCGTGATGAGTAGGACAAGAATTATCTCTCATGATCAGTAGGACGAGAATTATCTCTCATGATCAGTAGGACGAGAATTATCTCTCGTGATGAGAAGGACGAGAATTATCTCTCGTGATGAGTAGGACGAGAATTATCTCTCGTGATGAGTAGGACAAGAATTAGATCTCATATTGAGAAGGGCAAGAATTAGATATCATATTGAGAAGGGCAAGAATTAGATATCATATTGAGAAGGGCAAGTATCTCCTTAATGACGGAAGCAAAAGTCGTATTGAAAAGTAGGGTTATTTTAAAATTAGTTCCTGTATTGAGGAGAAGGATGATTTTAAATTAGTCCTTATTATGAGAAGAAGGATGATTTTAAAATAAGTTCCTTGTATTGAGAAGTGGTGTGATTTTAAATTTGTTCCTGTATTGAGTCGTCTAGTAATACTCGATATACACATAGTGGTTACTCTGTTGAACATGGATAAAACACATCGTAAATCACGTATAGCGACGACCTAAGTGATTTCTTTATTCAAGGAAGTGTTGGATGTGTTGCAAACACAAGCGTGCTCCTTTGTTGTGAAAACACTATAAAGCTTTGTACTCAGAAGACACGCGATCACTCTTTGATTAAGAGTGTAAAAAGTCCTCTTGTATTGAGGAGTCACAACTTTCTCTTGGTAAATCACATCTTAGATTGAGGAGGCACAAACAGTTCTTAGATTGAGGAGGTACAAACACCTCTTAGATTGAGGAAGTACAAACGCCTCTTAGATTGAGGAAGCACAAACGCCTCCTAGATTGAGGAGGCACAAACACCTCTTAGATTGAGGAGGCACAAACACCTCCTAGATTGAGGAGGCACAAACAGTTCTTAGATTGAGGAGGCACAAACACCTCTTAGATTGAGGAGGCACAAACACCTCTTAGATTGAGGAAGCACAAACGCCTCCTAGATTGAGGAGGCACAAACACCTCTTAGATGGAGGAGGCACAAACGCCTCCTAGACTGAGGAGACACAAACGCCTCTTAGATTGAGGAGGCACAAACACCTCTTAGACATCTCTTAGATTGAGGAGACACAAACGCCTCCTAGATTGAGGAGGCACAAACACCTCTTAGACACCTCTTAGATTGAGGAGGCACAAACGCCTCTTAGATTGAGGAGGCACAAACACCTCCTAGATTGAGGAGGCACAAACACCTCCTAGATTGAGGAGGCACAAACGCCTCTTAGATTGAGGAGGCACAAACGCCTCTTAGATTGAGGAGGTACAAACACCTCTTAGATTGAGGAGGTACAAACACCTCTTAGATTGAGGAGGCACAAACACCTCCTAGATGGAGGAGGCACAAACACCTCTTAGACTGAGAAGACATACAGTTTTGAATACCACAATTTTACAACAGCTTATTTGTCGTGAAGTCCTGCACAAAAGGTGCGTTGATTCAACGTTATCATCGTCTTTTCATGAAAACGTGTTCCTAACCCAACGGATTACAAAGAACCACATTCACTAACCTTTATCGGCTCTGATAATACTGCTTTATACGTCGTTGACTTAAAGTGTTTTGTTAAAAGGATCGAACAGTATAATGTTTATTACTGTTTAGTTTGTATATGACAAAGCAGAACCTATTACAATGTTGAAGAGATTTGAACATTTGTGTATTATTTCCGGAAAACAAATACTATTGCAGCGATAAACATAGAAATTCTAATTAAGAAAATTGTGGTTTTTGTTGTTTTTTTGTGTGTAGTTTTAAACTATTACGTTTATTTGTCTTGATATTAATTGATTTGGCACAGTTTGATGTACACATGTCTCTGTAAGGGTCTCATCCACGTCTATTGCTTCAAAACATTCACCAATAGTACGGAATTACTTCAGTTCTATCCAAATAATGAAGCCGAAGTCACACGAAACTTCCCTTGACACTTATTAAAGAATTCGAACGAAATGCTTCGTCTGCGGTATCCCTGGGACTTTGGGATATATTACTTTGTTGCGGGTTGTAAAATTTGTCATCTATGGTTTCTGTCGTATGATATTAAACATTTTTCGCAAAAGATGAAAAAAAAGTCAAAAAATAAAATCTTACCATGTTAATTGACAAGTGTTTCCCAACATTGTCATTAGTCTTAGTGATTACACTCAGACGAGGTCAGAATATTGTCATTAGGCCTATTGATTACACTCAGACGAGGTCAGAATATTGTCATTAGGCCTATTGATTACACTCAGGCTAGGTCAGAATATTGTCATTAGGCCTATTGATTACACTCGGACGAGGTCAGAATATTGTCATTAGGCCTATTGATTACACTCAGACGAGGTCAGAATATTGTCATTAGGCCTATTGATTACACTTGGGTGAGGCCAGAATATTGTCATTAGGCCTATTGATTACACTCAGGCGAGGCCAGAATATTGTCATTAGGCCTATTGATTACACTCAGGCGAGGCCAGAATATTGTCATTAGGCCTATTTTGTCATTAGGCCTATTGATTACACTCAGGCGAGGCCAGAATATTGTCATTAGGCCCAGTGATTACACTCAGACGAGGCCAGAATATTGTCATTAGGCCTATTGATTACACTTGGGCGAGGCCAGAATATTGTCATTAGGCCTATTGATTACACTCAGACGAGGCCAGAATATTGTCATTAGGCCTATTGATTACACTCAGGCGAGGCCAGAATATTGTCATTAGGCCTATTGATTACACTTGGGTGAGGCCAGAATATTGTCATTAGGCCTATTGATTACACTCAGACGAGGCCAGAATATTGTCATTAGGCCTATTGATTACACCTGGGCGAGGTCGGAATATTGTCATTAGGCCTATTGATTACACTCAGACGAGGTCAGAATATTGTCATTAGGCCTATTTTGTCATTAGGCCTATTGATTACACTCAGGCAAGGCCAGAATATTGTCATTAGGCCTATTGATTACACTCAGACGAGGTCAGAATATTGTCATTAGTCTTAGTGATTACACTCAGGCGAGGCCAGAATATTGTCATTAGGCCTATTGATTACACTCAGGCGAGGCCAGAATATTGTCATTAGGCCTATTGATTACACTCAGACGAGGTCAGAATATTGTCATTAGGCCTATTGATTACACTCAGACGAGGCCAGAATATTGTCATTAGGCCTATTTTGTCATTAGGCCTATTGATTACACTTGGGCGAGGTCGGAATATTGTCATTAGGCCTATTGATTACACTCAGACGAGGTCAGAATATTGTCATTAGGCCTATTGATTACACTCAGACGAGGTCAGAATATTGTCATTAGGCCTATTGATTACACTTGGGCGAGGTCGGAATATTGTCATTAGGCCTATTGATTACACTCAGACGAGGTCAGAATATTGTCATTAGACCTATTGATTACACTCAGACGAGGTCAGAATATTGTCATTAGGCCTATTGATTACACTCAGACGAGGTCGGAATATTGTCATTAGGCCTATTGATTACACTCAGACGAGGTCGGAATATTGTCATTAGGCCTATTGATTACACTCAGACGAGGTCAGAATATTGTCATTAGGCCTATTGATTACACTCAGACGAGGTCAGAATATTGTATTATCACATGTAAATTCCTCCGGACATTAAAAGTCCCATCATAATAGTAACTTATAGTATTTATAAAGTGACGGGAGATTGCCGTGTGTGTGCTCCGTTGAGCTGTGTATGCGGGTTTTAGCGACAGCATAGCGAAGCATGGTTCGGTTGTCTCCCAGGATTAGTAAGCCAAATACGATTTTCCGTATAGCACGGTAAGGTATGTTTATCTGTGTCTCCGACCATCTTGTTTATTCAGTGTGATAGGGGCACTACAATGTAATGATACATAATATAAATACTTGTGTATCTTACAGAAGAGTGTTTCAAACACAATAGCTAATGTTCATGTGTAGTACGAGCATGTCATTTGATAGTCATGTCATTTTGAAAGTATTTATTTCTATATATATGTGGAGTATCGTGTTTAGACAAACATATGCGACAGTCACCGGTGTTATATGTGAGCCTATCTTTAAGTGTGTTACTGACTGTCGATTATCGCTTTTTCCGTTTAGTTAAGTTTATATCTTGTCAACTCAAAGGAATAACGCTGTTAGTATCTGGCTTATTTGCGACCTTATTCGTCAGGTATGTCTTTCCGTCCTCGGTCAACGCGTTATCTACAGTTTACTGAATTTCCGTGTGGGGTGACACCTGCCATGCTAGATTGCTCTATAACATTTGAGTATGAAGCAGTTGTACAGATATTTCATTGCAATAGTTCTTGTGTTTCTTCTAATGACTGGCGCGCTCCATTACGTGCCAAGAATGCTCGTGAACAAAAGTGGCAGTGGCGGGAAGATAAAATGTCTTCTAATGCCTACAGAACTTGAAAATCAAGCCAGGACTAACGACGACCGTAAAAAATGGCCAGCGTGGAGTGTTATCAGGAAGCAAAGCAGAAAAACGGCTTCGAAGCTTCCATATGTGTGGGACAATGATATTGGTGACGATAGGATAGTGTCCCAAATGGAATTTGTGCCAGGAATTCATGGAGAAAAGAAAGTGCTTTGGACGAGAGCCTCTGATTTCAATGTAAATCCTGGAGACAGAATATTCAGCTCCTGTCCAGTTAAACACTGTACAATTATTGAGGATGACAATTTTCCAAAGATTGACGCCAAAATGTGGAATATGCAGTTTTCCTACATGGATATACCGAGGTTCAATCCCGCTAAGACCAAACAGGAAGACCAAGTTTGGATTATCTATAACCTGGAAGGTCCGCTTGCGACCCCGGATTATTATCTTTTAGATAATTTGTTTAACTGGACAGCGTCTTATAGACGAGACTCCACCATAGTAACGCCATATGAAAGATGGCGTCCATACAAGGACGTGAAACCTTCAACGAAAAAACGAAATTATGCGGCTGGCAAAAGTCGAAAAGTAGCCATGTTTATTTCTAACTGTGATACGACGAATGGACGGATGAATTACGTCCATGAATTACAGAAGTATATAGATATTCATGTTTACGGTGCATGCGGAGACGGAAGTCACCAGTGTGACAGATTTGAAAATCAGACTGCATGCATCGAAACATTAAGGCGACATTACAAGTTTTATTTAGCATTTGAAAACTGCAATTGTCGACATTATATAACAGAAAAGTTTTTCGTTAATGCTTTATCGTAAGTATACTTAATCCGTATTTGTTTTTCATGAATATTTATTTTTAAATGTAAGATTAGCACCACATTTGGTAAAAGCGTAGCCGTAGTTGGTCTGATACGTGCACTTTGCCACTCATCAAATTACAAAATGGTTAAAACGAAAAAGATATTTACAGGGAAGTTTCCATATGAAATATGACGAAACGTAAATAACTGGTAACTAAACGCCCCTTTTATATTAAGAGTTTAAAGGTTAAAGAGTCGAAAAAGGTGGAGAGCACTTATAGAGGGTGACCTTTGATTAAGTCGGAAGCCGTAAATTCGAACTCTCTAACTGACATAACCGTGCTCGAGGATTAGATATTTAATCTTAACGTGAACATTTGTGTTTATCATGTGGCACCTGAAGGGAACAGTTCTCTTTCGATCAAATTTAGACCCCTGGGATCACTAGCGAGTCATAGAATGACCTGGTGCTATTCACATGTGTCTTTTGTACAAGGGGAAATGAAGTCATTTAAGTTAAATTTTAAAGTAAGCAGGACGTCAACAGATCATCTGTCAGCCTTGACGACAACAGGTCATTTGTTGTCGTGACGTTAACAGGTGATCTGTCAGTGTGACGTCAGCAGGTGATCTGTCAGCGTGACGTCAACAGGTCATCTGTTAGTGTAACGTCAACAGGTCATCTGTTAGTGTAACGTCAACAGGTCATTTGTTAGTGTAACTTCAACAGGTCATCTGTCAGCGTGACGTCAACAGGTCATCTGTCAGTGTAACTTCACCAGGTCATCTGTTAGTGTAACGTCAACAGGTCATTTGTTAGTTGACTTCAACAGGTCATCTGTCAGGTTGACGTCAACAGGTCATCTGTTAGTGTAACGTCAACAGGTCATTTGTTAGTGTAACTTCAACTGGTCATCTGTCAGCGTGACGTCAACAGGTCATCTGTCAGTGTAACTTCACCAGGTCATCTGTTAGTGTAACGTCAACAGGTCATCTGTCAGCTTGACGTCAACAGGTCATCTGTCAGTGTAACGTCAACAGGTCATCAGTCAGCCTGACGTCAACAGATCATCTGTTAGTGTTACGTCAACAGGTCATCAGTCAGTGTGACGTCAACAGGTCATCTGTCAGTGTGACGTCAACAGGTCATCTGTCAGCGTCGACGTCAACAGGTGATTTGTCAGCGTGACATCAACAGGGGATCTGTCAGCGTGACGTCAACAGGTCATCTGTCAGTGTGACGTCAACAGGTCATCTGTCAGCGTGATGTCAACAGGGGAACTGTCAGCGTGATGTCAACGGGTCATTCTTCAGTATAACGGCAACAGGTCATTTGCTAGCATGACGTCAACAGGCCTTTTGTCAGCGTCGACGTCAACAGGCCTTTTGTCAGCGTGACGTCAATAGGTCATCTGTCAGTTTGACGTCAACAGGCCATCTGTCAGCTTGACGTCAACAGGTGATCTGTCAGCGTGACGTCAACATGTCATCTGTCAGTGTGACGTCAACCGATGATCTGTCAGCGAGAAATCAACAGGTCATCTGTCAGTGTGACGTCAACCGGTGATATGTCAGCGAGACGTCAACATGTCATCTGTCACTGTAACGTCAACAGGTCATCTGTCGGCTTGACGACAACAGGTCATCTGTCAGCGTGACGTTAATAGGTGATCTGGCCCCACTTGTATAAAACATCTCAACTTGAGATTTCCTCAAGTCGAGATTTTCCTCAGCTGATATCTCCTCAAAAACGGCTTGTATAAAATTTTCTCAAGGAACAGGAGGAAGGCATCGGCTAGGATGTCCTGAAATTCCTTGACAAATTTTCATACAAGATATTTTCAAGGAGATATTAGCTGAGGAAAATCTGTGCTTGAGGATATCTCAAGTTGAGATGTTTTATACAAGTGGGTCCTGTTAGCATAACGTCAACAGGCCTTTTGTCAGCGTGACGTCAACAGGTCATCTGTCAGCGTGACGTCAACAGGTCATCTGTCAGTGTAACGTCAACAGGTCATCCGTCGCTGACAATTTTCTTTATTTTGGATAACTCTACAGTGACCTTATCGGTATTCAATAATGTTCAAGTATTAGGGCTCTTTTGGAAATCTCTACCTATCATATTGGCTATCATGAACAACTCAATGTCATATATACATACATCAAAATAACAGGTCAATCCCGATAAGAGTTAAAATATTTACACCTGCAAGCTCGGGGCGCTGATAATTAGTTTACTTACTTCACCAGCGTGTATAAAATACAATTTATAACACGCAAAAGTCGCTGTATGACCTGTCAATATGTGTGTATACATATTTCAGATAACTGAACAATTCTTTGAAAATCATTTTTCGGGACAGGCATGTGCGTAGCTTTACAATGTCTAATATTATACCAGCTACACAGGTATCCCGCGCCCGCATCAAAGCGAAAATAGTCTTTTGTCGGTAGCAATTTTACCTGCGAGAATAATGTGTATCATTAATAGATCTACGTCTGAGGATATTACTATAAAAGATTACCAACAGGTAGTTATAAGTTCTCTAAGTCCTCAAAGGTATCGGGGATACCGGTCGGATTACTTTAGCAAAAATGTGAAATTATAGTAGATATTTAACAAATACTGTTACATTACATCACTTTTGTGGGGCGCCATTGTTGTGCCTCTTGAGTGCGTAGGAAAAAAACCCAGACAATATCCAATAAGGCTTTACATAAAAATGACGGAGATTTAGACTACTTTAGAAGGCTGTACAAAGACACACAAGGGAAGGGCGTTTCAATAGGAACGGATTGATAGGTAGCGTCAAGGCTGCGCGACATTAACCTACCGAAGTTTGGAAATATTTAGCGGGTGTGATTTTGAATTCAAAACAGGCTAATGAAGTGTGCCGTGTTTATGGGATGTCCGTTGTACATATATACATGTATGTGATATATATATATATATATATATATATACACGTATAGATATACCGAGGGTGTATTTGAGTTGGATCAAAGGTGTTCATATGTACAATCTGCCGTTGTCAATACATACTGTATATCTATACACAGACAATACACCTGTATGTGGTCAGTCACACTGCTAACGAAGATTACTATCTGTCAATACATACTGTATATCTATACACAGACAATACACCTGTATGTGGTCAGTCACACTGCTAACGAAGATTACTATCTGTCAATACATACAGTATATCTATACACAGACAATACACCTGTATGTGGTCAGTCACACTGCTAACGAAGATTACTATCTGTCAATACATACAGTATATCTATACACAGACAATACATCTGTATGTGGTCAGTCACACTGCTAACGAAGATTACTATCTGTCAATACATACAGTATATCTATACACAGACAATACACCTGTATGTGGTCAGTCACACTGCTAACGAAGATTACTATCTGTCAATACATACAGTATATCTATACACAGACAATACATCTGTATGTGGTCAGTCACACTGCTAACGAAGATTACTATCTGTCAATACATACAGTATATCTATACACAGACAATACACCTGTATGTGGTCAGTCACACTGCTAACGAAGATTACTATCTGTCAATACATACAGTATATCTATACACAGACAATACATCTGTATGTGGTCAGTCACACTGCTAACGAAGTTTACAATTGTTTCAATACATACAGTATATCTATACACAGACAATACACCTGTATGTGGTCAGTCACACTGCTAACGAAGATTACAGTCTGTCAATACAAACCGTATATCTATACACAGACAACACACCTGTATGTGGTCAGTCACACTGCTAACGAAGATTACAGTCTGTCAATACAAACCGTATATCTATACACAGACAGTACACCTGTATGTGGTCAGTCACACTGCTAACGAAGATTACTATCTGTCAATACATACCGTATATCTATACACAGACAATACACCTGTATGTGGTCAGTCACACTGCTAACGAAGATAACAAGGTTCTTCCTTAGAAGTGACAATCACAAATTAACTGTCATTGAGTGCCTCGTTGTTTTCCCTCATGTTTCTCACTTTAAGTAGACTTATGGGAAAAGATTGTTAGACAATCTAAGGCTGATAAGTGACTCACCTGTATTCCTTTCTGTGATGTTCTGTGTATACTTGTATATGTATATATATTGTAGTTACTTGAACTGTAAGCTGACATTGTTTACAGAGGTAGATGAAAGGAAGTAGTTTTAAAAACATTTCGCGGTTAGGTATTTTTGATGGTTTTTTTTTTTTTTTTTTTGTGAGCGTGGATCTTGTAATACGTCACAAAATATTATTGACATGTTTACGAGATTTTCATCGCGAAAACATTTCATTGGGTAATGTTGATAGCTTAGAGAGGAGTGTTCGTCCGTCGGCCCGTCCGTCCGGGTAGTTTCCCGATGATAACGGATGACAGATTAGCGTGAAACGTGATAGAATATTAGGTTAGTAGGAGTCCTAGTGCGCTATTTTTGTTTGGGGTTGAAAGGTCAATGACAAGGGTTACTATTGCTAAAAATAGATTTTTGGTTTTCAGATGATAACTGAGTTAGGGATGACAAATTAGGATGAAACTTAATATAATTATTACTTTATCGGAAGATCTAGTGAGGGCCATTGTTTTCAAAAGGTCAACCTGAAGGTCACTGTTGCTAAAAATAGATTTTTGGTTTTCAGATGATTACTTGAGTTAGGGAAGACCGATAAGCTTGAAACTTGATACGATGTAATTTGTATAAGTTTATCATCAGATCGAGGGTCTCATTGTGTCTGGGTTGTTGTCATAAAATTGAGATATCCGTGACTGAATTGTCATTTCACAATATCTACAGTGACAGTAATGTCCATTGACAATGCCTGAAAGTGGACATTTATCACACACATTCGTTTCCATTATGGCATCTTCTAAAAAGAAGAATTTATTTCTACCAGTAATCTATTTCTGATCAATACCAATTGATACAAACACACTTCTGAAAGAGATCAACATTGTATACATTGTATATTAGGTACATACTAGTTAAAATTCCCATCTCATGTTCCAAACAAGGTATTTGAAAATTTCCTGCAAAAATGCTAGTTATGTAACAGCAGGGGGCGTGTGTTTTTTGCAACACTAACTGTAAGTTTGTTGACAAAACATTATCCCATTTAATCAAAACATAAATATCGTTTTTTTCTCAGAAATAATGACCAACTGTAATATGATCAACGTATTATACTGAAACCTAACATATCAAATAAAAAAATCATTGTATCAACCACCCAAATTCCACAGTATACTGGAAAGTTCATTGTTTTCGTTGGTGCAAATTTTCGTGGTTTTACAAAAAAGAAAACAAAAAACATACCGTAATAATTAACACCCATCAGGTGTTAGGGAATAGCACCAACCACCGAACAATATTACCAGCGCGTGAAAACCAACTTCTTACTTCATCGACCATTACAAACCCACTACTTACATACTTTATCGGTATTACAAACCCACTACTTACATACTTTATCAGTATTACAAACCCGCTACTTACATACTTTATCGGTATTACAAACCCACTACTTACATACTTTATCAGTATTACAAACCCACTACTTACATACTTTATCAGTGTTACAAACCCACAACTTACATACTTTATCAGTATTACAAACCCACAACTTACATACTTTATCAGTATTACAAACCCACAACTTACATACTTTATCAGTATTACAAACCCACAACTTACATACTTTATCAGTGTTACAAACCCGCTACTTACATACTTTATCAGTATTACAAACCCACTACTTACATACTTTATCAGTATTACAAACCTACTACTTACATACTTTATCAGTATTACAAACCCACTACTTACATACTTTATCAGTATTACAAACCCACAACTTACATACTTTATCAGTATTACAAACCCACAACTTACATACTTTATCAGTATTACAAACCCACAACTTACATACTTTATCAGTATTACAAACCCACAACTTACATACTTTATCAGTGTTACAAACCCGCTACTTACATACTTTATCAGTATTACAAACCCACTACTTACATACTTTATCAGTATTACAAACCTACTACTTACATACTTTATCAGTATTACAAACCCACTACTTACATACTTTATCAGTATTACAAACCCACAACTTACATACTTTATCAGTATTACAAACCCACAACTTACATACTTTATCAGTGTTACAAACCCACAACTTACATACTTTATCAGTATTACAAACCCACTACTTACATACTTTATCAGTGTTACAAACCCACTACTTACATACTTTATCAGAACATACTTTATCAGTATTACAAATTCGTTAGTGCATACATGTACTAACTGTCAACGTTGGAAATTCGGACAAACGCGATTGAAAGAACGCGGGGATGTTAAGGATCTTGAATCACAATTGGGAGTCAAATTTGTTCAAAAGCTGGTTACAGATGACTGGGTGATAGTGAAAATTTGGAAACGTTGATAAAACGGTATTTGGAACATCATTTTTCTGTTCACAGCTGTAGATTTGTTATGACAAATCAGATTGATACTATTCAAGTGTTAGTTTTGCGTTTTTCAATGACAACAATTTGAATTTTTCACTAAGCACTGGTTATCACTAAGATTTAAGCATACGGAAATAGTTTTCCAGTATTAAGAGGACATATGGGAGCTTGTGTTAGGTCTGTTCATATGTGAGATGATAATGTGGGCCTTCACATTCGGAGTAACACACTATCTCGTGAAGGTCACCAGATGGCTAAACTTTAACACAAAATATGCACGTTGTATGGGGCTCAATCATTCAATTTGACGATAGCAACATGTGTAGTTATACAGCATTTGAAACACGTGCACGATAATAACGGTGTCACTTATTGTTTATTTGTCGACAGATCTGACGTCATTCCTGTTGTGATGGGAGCGCATCCTGACGATTATAAAGCTGTGGCACCACCAGACTCCTTCATTCACGTCGAGGATTTTAACTCGCCTAAAGACTTAGCAAAATATTTACATACATTAGATAAAAATGATGATTTGTACAATGAATATTTTCGATGGAAAGGCACTGGTTCGTTTATTGACACCAAGTTCTGGTGTAGACTCTGTGCCTTACTTAATGACCCTGACAAACCTAGCCTCGTTGTGGAGAGTTTAAGTGCATGGTGGAGACCTCCTGGGGTTTGTATCCGTGAAGACCAAAAATGGAAGGATTTATGACGTCACGCAATGCCTTTCAACTTTAAAGGCGTATATTGAAGCATTTTATTTTGTTATGAGTCCTGTATAATATTTGTTACTTATTGAAATCCAAACAGCAGTAATACCACGTTACAACAGCCGTATTGATTTTTAGACCATTTATGCGTTTCCAAATGAAAGTCAAGGTTGAATATAGCACATAAAGACCATTAAAATATAAATAAAAATTTTAGCGATATTATTTCAAAACTTTGTTGTTTTAATTGTCTGGTTTGATAGCATGTATTGACGAGGTAACATGTGTACGGATGGAATGTGAACGATAAGTAAAGTCAGTGCTTACTGTAGAACAAACAGACTTACGTCACGTTAAACCCCGATGCACTGAAGGTGTAAACTTTGATAGGTCACATGGGGACCTAACACTTCTTGTCTTAACGATTTCTCCATCTGTGTCTAATGTATCTGTACAGAAGATTTATATCGGTAACATGATAACACAACACCTGGTGCTGGTTTCGCACGTGACCGCTAATTAGGCTTGTAATGGCGGTTTCTCTATACGTAGCGGTGATGAACCTCACGTGGGTATACCTGCTTCCGCCAATGTTTGAAAATGCATTTGCACAGACAACTTCGACAGGTCACCTGCGAATACCATTTTTTCATGTGTTGATTTATCCATTTCAGATGTATGCAGTCAGTGTATTATATAATTAGAATTGAATGGTCACCGACGTTCTCATAATAGAGAACACATAGATTATACATTATCAGTAAAATACAGCAGTTTGTGTTGCTAGGACAACGATTGCGAAACTTCGTTGGAAATAGGAACTTCGCTATCCGATCGCTGGAGCAAAATCACAATAAATGAGTTGTTTCCTCGTCACTGAGGACAAGGCATAGACTTAAGTTTATACAACAACAAACAACAACAACATCAAAAACAACATCAACAGCATCATCATCATCAGCAGCAGCAGCAGCAGCAACAACAAATGAAATAGCGACATGTAGATTTTTAATTCAATCTCCAATTGGAAGAGCTTAGCGCAAAAAAGGAAATCCCTGAAAAAAGAACAAGAAGAATAAGATTGGGTGTTCCGGAAGGGTTAGCATATTCTGCTTCTTAGACAGCATCGGCCGTGTAAATCCTGGTCAATCTTAAGTCGTAATTTTCACAAATGTGAACAAGTTTACCAACAATGGCACCATCAGGAATACTGACGAACATTAAACACGTTCATTTCTCACATGGGAATAGAACATTTCCTAATGAGGTCATTTTGTTCATCCTCGTGATCTTCATCAACCTGCATGTCTCAAAACCATGTACCGTGAGTTTTTTCTCAGCTGAAAATATATGGAGAAACATCTTGCGCAATCAAGGAATCAACTTTTTATGGGCGTGGTTATTTTTCTAGAATAGAGAATTAAGGTTCAATATAAAAAATATCTAAAATGTATTTAGTTGTCCAAATACAACTAGTTACATAGATAGGGATCATGCCAACTGTAGCATGAGAAGAGACAACTCGAAAACATATTGCACCTACAAATAGGTAAAGACTCGTGCCTGGATTGGGAAAAAAACATCAATTATGGATTGAAGAAAATCCAGCAATAAATCAAACTTTGTTTAAAAAAGTTTTTAAAAACCGTTATTTTATCTTAATCTAAACACAAAGTCCAGTTCTGTCCGACCCATGACATTGACATTAAGTTGTCGGATATAGGTTCATCAATGGAATTTCGACAAACGACTTGCCACCCCATGTTAGCGGTCCTTTCACGCTAGTAAAGACATCAAACGACTTGCCACCCCGTGTTAGCGGTCCTTACACGCTAGTAAAGACATCAAACGACTTGCCACCCCATGTTAGCGGTCCTTACACACTAGTAAAGACATCAAACGACTTGCCATCCCGTGTTAGCGGTCCTTACACACTAGTTAATACATCAAACGACTTGCCACCCCGTGTTAGCGGTCCTTACACGCTAGTAAAGACATCAAACGACTTGCCACCCCATGTTAGCGGTCCTTACACGCTAGTAAAGACATCAAACGACTTGCCACCCCGTGTTAGCGGTCGTTACACACTAGTAAAGACATCAAACGACTTGCCACCCATGTTAGCGGTCCTTACACACTAGTAAATACATCAAACGACTTGCCATCCCGTGTTAGCGGTCGTTACACACTAGTAAATACATCAAACGACTTGCCGCCCCATGTTAACGGTCCTTACACACTAGTAAATACATCAAACGACTTGCCGCCCCATGTTAGCGGTCCTTACACACTAGTAAAGACATCAAACGACTTGCCATCCCGTGTTAGCGGTCGTTACACACTAGTAAAGACATCAAACGACTTGCCATCCCGTGTTAGCGGTCCTTACACATTAGTAAATACATCAAACGACTTGCCATCCCATGTTAGCGGTCGTTACACACTAGTAAAGACATCAAACGACTTGCCACCCCATGTTAGCGGTCCTTACACACTAGTAAAGACATCAAACGACTTGCCTACCCATGTTAGCGGTCCTTACACACTAGTAAAGACATCAAACGACTTGCCATCCCGTGTTAGCGGTCCTTACACACTAGTAAATACATCAAACGACTTGCCGCCCCATGTTAGCGGTCGTTACACACTAGTAAAGACATAAAAACGACTTGCCATCCCGTGTTAGCGATCGTTACACACTAGTAAAGACATCAAACGACTTGCCTACCCATGTTAGCGGTCCTTACACACTAGTAAAGACATCAAACGACTTGCCACCCCATGTTAGCGGTCCTTACACGCTAGTAAAGACATCCAACGACTTGCCATCCCGTGTTAGCGGTCCTAACACACTAGTAAAGACATCAAACGACGTGGCACCCCATGTTAGCGGTCCTTACACACTAGTAAAGACATCAAACGACTTGCCATCCCGTGTTAGCGGTCCTTACACACTAGTTAATACATCAAACGACTTGCCACCCCGTGTTAGCGGTCCTTACACGCTAGTAAAGACATCAAACGACTTGCCACCCCATGTTAGCGGTCCTTACACGCTAGTAAAGACATCAAACGACTTGCCACCCCGTGTTAGCGGTCGTTACACACTAGTAAAGACATCAAACGACTTGCCACCCATGTTAGCGGTCCTTACACACTAGTAAATACATCAAACGACTTGCCATCCCGTGTTAGCGGTCGTTACACACTAGTAAATACATCAAACGACTTGCCGCCCCATGTTAACGGTCCTTACACACTAGTAAATACATCAAACGACTTGCCGCCCCATGTTAGCGGTCCTTACACACTAGTAAAGACATCAAACGACTTGCCATCCCGTGTTAGCGGTCGTTACACACTAGTAAAGACATCAAACGACTTGCCATCCCGTGTTAGCGGTCCTTACACATTAGTAAATACATCAAACGACTTGCCATCCCATGTTAGCGGTCGTTACACACTAGTAAAGACATCAAACGACTTGCCACCCCATGTTAGCGGTCCTTACACACTAGTAAAGACATCAAACGACTTGCCTACCCATGTTAGCGGTCCTTACACACTAGTAAAGACATCAAACGACTTGCCATCCCGTGTTAGCGGTCCTTACACACTAGTAAATACATCAAACGACTTGCCGCCCCATGTTAGCGGTCGTTACACACTAGTAAAGACATAAAAACGACTTGCCATCCCGTGTTAGCGATCGTTACACACTAGTAAAGACATCAAACGACTTGCCTACCCATGTTAGCGGTCCTTACACACTAGTAAAGACATCAAACGACTTGCCACCCCATGTTAGCGGTCCTTACACGCTAGTAAAGACATCAAACGACTTGCCATCCCGTGTTAGCGGTCCTAACACACTAGTAAAGACATCAAACGACGTGGCACCCCATGGTAGCGGTCGTTACACGCTGGTAAAGACGTCAAACGACGGGAGAGATATCTGGTCACAGGCAACTTTATCATGTAAGCCAAGGTTGGAGCTGTTTTAAAACAGGGCATATTTTAGATATGGAATCCTGGAACAGAGATTTTAAAACTAAAATGGCAAAGCTTTTAAAACCTTGACACATTTGCAGCCTTTTTTTATATTGTTGGTTGTTTCCGTCAATCGCTGTTGGATTCCAGATAATGTTCACTTCTTAGAGGCCACGTTCCACAGGACTTGTCTCCAACGATTCCGTTCGATCGTGTACGCCTTTTGGTGACTTTGTTCGTTCGGCGACCGGATCTTTATACCGTTGACTAATGTTTATGCCTTCTTTAACAATAATGTTTTCATAAATACTCTGAGACAATTTGTAAGGATATTTAAACGTAGTTTAATCACTCGTCATATCTCCGGCATCTTGACTTGAGAAAACCAACGGGTAATAACGAACCTATAAACTTATTTAAATATTTCAAGTAGAAGACTGAATATCAGCTGAGGGTGACATGAAATCCGAGAACAATAGGTCCGTGTCCCAGAAGGTACCCCAAAAGGTTGGTTATAAAATGTCAATTTTTTCAACTGAAAGAACAAGAAGGAACTATTTCTTCGACGTTTAACAAATCCGAAGCCATAAGAAATTCCATTATCAATCAAATTATACACTTAACACTTGTCTAAACTGTGAATAAATTGATATATTGATAGTGTAAAAAGCCAAGAACATCTGCGTGAAAACATGACATGATGTTTCTAAAAATAGATTTTCATCGATCTCTTCTGTATACGTGTTTTTTCGGGTGTCGTCTGCGAAACGCGACGTTTACGCTTTGGGAGCCTGACGTCATACTCTGCGTTTTAATAGCCCTCATGCCAGTACTTCTTCTGTTCATTTTTGCTTATCATTTATCGATCTGAATTCTTAATTAACATTTTTGTTAACTGTTCTTATTGCAAACAACAAGCAAAGTTTAAACGTATCCTTACAATATTGTTAAATTGACTCTATTACTTGTATGAAATATAGTCGCGTGCCCTTGTGTGTGGAGTGTCGTGCTTCGTGCTGTACTTCAAAGCTTACATCAGGTATTCAGACGTTACATGTCTGACCTTTGTGTGCTTCCCGGTCCTAACAGCACAAGGTAGATGTTTCTAAGCACGAATCAAATACTATGGAAACGTATTTGGACCTACTTTTGTTGTGATAAAATATAGTCTAAACGACTTAAAAA